TCCAACAATGCATGTACAGTACTCCAGAAAGGTTTTCATAAAGTTTAATATATTAATTATATCATTTTCTGTAGTTCGGCTTTTTGGAAAGTTTGGTTCAAATGATTATTAGAAAGAGTTTTAATTATTCAAATTATTTTTTCACATGCCTTCTTTTTTATTATTCTGCATTTGGTTATTTTAGTATGTAATTATAAAACTATTCATCTATTAGATACAGAAAGATGAATTTAGAAAACATATGCATAAGCTGATGGATAAATAATTAAACATTGTCTTAAAAGGAAGGTTATTTTACTAATATAATATACTTAAGTTTTATTTAAATTAATGATAGGCATTTATCTGTTCTTTGCTGTTATTTTGCATATACATGTATTCAAAACTTGCTAGTTTGGCTGAATACAATTATTTGCTGTATTAAGTATATTCATTATTTTTAACTTGTGTATTTTTACTGCATCAGTCAAAAAGTATTCATTCTAAATTAGAATATATGTATTCAATTATTCCTTATCTGGTATATTTGTTTAGTCGGTCAAAAAACATTATTGCAAAATTCAAATTATAGTATGTATTATTGTCAGAAATGCACTAACAAAAAAGTAGCATAAAGAATTATAATAGTTTATTAAAAAGAAAAGAAAATTATGAATTGTGATAATATTAAATTTAGATAGTTGAAAAATATATTTAAACCATGCCTTTAAGGCTTTGAATAAAATTTGAAATTTGATTAAAACTCTACAAAATTTAAATTTTTATTTAATAAATTTTATGAATCACATTACATAAATTATATTTCAATTTTTAAAACAAAAATAAGTGAAAGTAGTTCATCTAATGATTTGACAGTTCTTACTCAAATTTTAGAAAATAAAAAATATGATTACTGTAATGTAATAATAAGAAGACAAAATTTTTTATATTCTTGTAGTAATAATCTATAGCATAAGCATGTGACCTGTAACATGTGCTATGAAAGATATGCTAAAAAGAGACGAGAAAAAAATCCAATTTCAAGAAAGAAATCAAAAACAGACATTAGCACTGATATAACAGTTTTGGTTATCAGTACTTCAAGTTCACAAATTAATAATGTACCAGATACTCTTCAAGTTAACAGTAGTTTTGAGAACTATGATAATTTTGAGCCAACATTAGAAGCTAATTTTTTTGAAAATGAATTTGCAAATATATTACAAACTGAAGAAATAGAACATATTATCAGTTCACAAAGTGATGAATATGATAACATTAATACAATTTCATATTGTATAGATGAAGTAGAAAGATTCATTGCTATACAGTTTCAAAATGCCAAGTCATCCAAAGAGCCTGCAAAGTTTGAGTTTGAAATAGAATTGGATTCAGGACTTTTAGATGCTGTCAAACTTGGTCAAGATCTTGAAACCAACCCACTAAACCTAGAGAAAATCAAAAGTAGCTTTGTGCAACTTACCAAAATTCTCACTTTACCACTAAAATCTGGGTCTGAATATTATTAAAGAGAACTAAACTTATATTTAAATCTAAAAAAAAAAAATTTACAGGATATGCTACAGCATACTTTCAATATGCATCACATGAAGACTGAAAGTGACAAAGACCAAATGACCAGAAGATCAAAAGATGAAGTAAAGCTCATGCTGCAATAGAGTGATTTTCTTGCAAAGGCAAAATTATGATTAATATAAATATATGACTGCAATGCGCAAGTGTACAGTGTGAGCATCTGTGTTTACATAAACATCCATCATACTGACAAACAAAATTTCCAGAAGATACAAAACAATAAATCCAGGAAAATCTTAAGTATAACTTGTAGAGCTTAGATATATATCGACATCTAAGTGAAAATAACCTAATTAATTCAATATATACAAAAGAACTGATGTATTATTGGATATCAGTTTATAATAAACAAATATATCTTAAAAATAAAGGTAATCAGCTTTTATCATCTAAAACATATCTTGAATAGCCTGAAACTGTTGCTAGAGGGTTTAGAATTATTACTTACTTTGACAATAATTTTGTTTGGGCCTTGGGATTTGTTATTCCACTGTTTGATTGGATCAATGCTGAAAATATAAATGAAATAGTGGTAGATTCTACATTTAAAACAAATTAGGAACAGTTTGAACTCTTTGTCGTAAATGCTAATTGTGGAAGATATGGCATGCCATTAGCATATTTATATTTACTGATATTAAATAATATTAAAGAAGTATGTTACTATCCAGAAGATGGAATTACTACTCACATACAGGTTCTTAAACAATTCTTTATTGGTTTTCAACAAGAGAAGTTACTACCTTCATTTGCGTTATTAGACAAAGATACTGATAAAATCTTAACTGTTGGTGAAGCCTGGTCAAGGAAAACAAATCTTCAATTATGCTATTGGCATTTAGAAAATGCTATTAGCAGATATTTAAAGGATAAAAAACCATGATCAAATACTTATTCTAAACAAAAAGCATTAAAAACTCATCAAAAATTTAGTTTCATAGACCCATCGTAAATTCCAGCTAGTAAAATTAAAAGTTTATGCTTAGAAGAATTGTTTAAAGAAATTATTAATATTATTAAATGACATGCAAATATGCATCTGTTAATTCCAGTAGATAAAGATGTTTTCTGGAATTCAGCTCAGATCTATTACTACTGCGTAGAGGAAGTCTATCATTTTTGTTACACATATAATTGTTGTGAATTGTGGTGATATTTTTGGCTAAACTAGTATAATGAACATGATTGGATACTGTTTGCTCATTCCTCCTATTCTTATACAATGCCACTAGCCTGAACCACTATGATTACAGAAAGCTATTGGAGAGTACTCAAGTATAATTATAAATATAATTATAATAGGCCTCAGCTTGACTGTCTTACTAATATTATTATTGAACAACTAGTGCCAGATTGCGACCTTATGTTGGCCAGTATAATATGATTCAACATTTTCCATCTTGGTAGCACACCTTTAAAAAAGATTAAAATAAGGCTATGTCTACAGATATTATGCCTAATATGGATAAAAGATATTCTATTGATGTAAATAATTAGATATGTTTTTGCTCAGCATACATAAATAGTCATTATCTTCTTTGCAAGCATTTAGTCACAAAGAAAAGAAAAGATTTTTGGCCCACCTTTAGTGAAACAACAAGATGACATGATTATCTATTAATCATCTTCAGTAAAAATAAGCCTTTAGCAATTTTTCAAGAAAATAATTCATGGATAATAGCCAATATGATTATTTTAGGGCAGAATTCTGCTTTTGAGAATCCTGTTATAGAAGGTAATCACTCAGAAAATTTGAAAAGTATATCTATAATAGCACAGAAAAATAAGATAAAAGAAAGAAAAAAAAAGTATTTCCATATATAAAGAAATTTAAAAAAGCATTAGAATTGTATAAAAGAGAAATAGATAATAATAATTTTGTAAAAAATTTTGACAAATTGGTAAATCTATTTGTAAAAGCAATTAGTGAATGTGAAAAAGCCTTATAATCTCGTACATAGCAAGGCACCCAATAATCAAGTAATGAGAAGCTTGCTTTTTAGTTACGTTAGTTAATAAGTAAAAAAAAAAATAAAAATAGTTAAAATATTTCACAAATAGCTGTATATACATTAAGAAAACTATATATAGATATATATCGATTACTAGTATTTTTACTGATTTTGATTTAATAATAATAAATACAACTTTAAAATATTTATATAAAATTTTATTTATTAAAAATTTATTAAAGTTTTACAAATGTAAATAAGAGCTATAGTTAGCAGTAAAATTATAAGATAATAAGCAAGCAAAATTATACAATAATATTATAATAAATTAAAGTGACAACATAAAAATATAATAAAAGAATAGAGATATTTTTAACTTTCAGACCCAAATCTCTAATCTTTGACAATGAACAAATCTACAAAAAAAGAAAAAAATTAGTGAAACAAAAAAAAAATAAAGCAAGAAAGCATAAAAGAAACTGGTACTTATCTAAAAATTCCAGTTTCAGACCTGAATCTCTAATTCCTAATGAAGAACAAACCTACAAAAAAAAAAAGAAAAGAATTAATGCAATGAAAGAAAGTAAAGCAAGAAAGCAAAAAAGACATCAGTACTTATCTAAAGTTCTAGATCTAGATTTTGAATTTCCAATCTCCAGCAAAGAACAAAAAACAAGAGAAAAACTAATGCAACAAAAAAAAAGTAAAGCAAGAAAGTGAAAAAGACACTGGTACTTATCTAAAATTTTGAATCTAGATATTGAATCTCCAATATCTGATAAAGAACAAACCTATAAAAAAAAAGAGAAGAATTAATGCAATGAAAAAAAAGTAAAGCAAGAAAGTGAAAAAGATGCTAGTATTTATCTAAAGTTCTAGATCTAGATCTTAAATCTCCAATCTTCAGCAAAGAACAAATCTACAAAAAAAAAAAAAATTAATGCAATGAAAGAAAAGCAAAACAAGAAAGTGAAAAAGGCACTAGTACTTATCCAAAGTTCTAGATTTTGAATCTCCAATTTCTGGCAAAGAACAAACCCACAAAAAAAAGAAAAGAGTTAATGCAATGAAAAAAAAATAAAACAAAAAAGTGAAAAAAACACTAGTACTTATTTAAAAAAAGTTAAATAAAGATAAAATTAAAGATTATCATTTTACAAATAATAAAATTATCTTAGAAAAAATTTTATACTATTATTAATAATGATTGGCAGGATCATGCAAATCATCATATGGTTTAAGTAAAATCTTATTTTAGCAACACTTTTTTTTGACATGGTTAGGGTACTACTCAGAGGCACAAGATCTTAATTTAGACAAAAATGATATCTTGAATATGCAGATAGATGAAACTAATATAAACAGAAAAGACACAGACACAGAAAAGATGCAATAGGACAACCAATCACATGCAACCATTTCGAGCAACAATTCAAATAAACACAAACATAAACTTACATATAGTTAAACTACTAGCAAAAATATTACAAGACAAAGCAAAGATGAAGATACAGAGATGCAATAGATTAACATAATACAAGATAAACTAGCAAGTAAAATTACTAAATTCTTCAATATAGAAATCTGGAATTACAACAAAATACTTGAGCTATTACAAATAAAAGCAGGAATAGAAAAATTTATTAAATACAAATTAATATACAAACCAACAAGTCTTTATATATCCAATGCAATTAATACAAAATTCAAATACCTGAACATAGCATTCTTTATTACTTTTACTAGAAACAAAGCAACTCAACTAACTTATCAAAAAGATTATGAAACACTGCTCAAATATGCTATTGAAAAATACAAATTGATTAATAATATCACAATTATAGATGCATCAATACAAAAGATTATTAAAACCAAGCTGCGACAAAAGATTATCATTAATTATATTACAAACTGCAACTTCAACATAATGCCAGAAAACATGATTGCCAAAATAATAAAATATGCAAAAGGATTTATGAAAAGTGAACCAATATTTGACTTACAAATCATAAAGGAGATTACATAAACAGCACTAAACAACATCTGAACAGTACTGCCAAACTACTCAGATGAAATACCAGAAGAAATACAATAACTTCTCCTATACAGACTGCCAATTACATATAGATATGAAACTAAATCAACAGTAATTACCCTACACAAGATATACAAATTCGATACTTTACCAAAAGACTACTTTAAAATAAAGAAACCCTCTTTAAATGACCCTAAAGATTTGGATCCTGCTATTAGAAACTTATTCCCAATTACAGACAGAAAAAAACTTCAAAACCTTGGAAAATACAAACAAAAACTACTAGAATTCTATAGTTTTAATAGAATACCAAAGGTATACTTCAAACTACCTGATCCGAAACCAAGCCTATCTACAACCTACCATGAGCTAAACAATAAAATTCAATATTTCTTCCCCTTTAATCACCAAGATCCATTGACGACAATGGAAAAAATAGTCAAAATGCTTAAAGAAAACTATATCTTCAAAGTTATACCAAATGAATATATCAAATATAAACCAAAATTACCTACAGACATAACCAAAATCAAAACTAAACAAAGTTTGAATACCCAATCACAGATGACCAAAAAGCCAAAGAATTCATTTCACAAATCATTCCAACATACAGATTTAGTATTCTATTAGATTCACAAATAATAACAACTAATCTGACAGAAAAACCCAGACTACCAGAAGACACAAAAGAAATTAAAGAGTATAACATTACTATACCAATTAGAACACCTAAACAACTAGTTGACATAGCCTGACTTTTGAGAGAAATATACTTCTTCTATAAATTACCAAACACATGGATTAATATTACAAATGAAAAAAATACAGTAGAAATGCAAAAAGCATCTGACAATCAAGCAAAGCCTGATTTAAAACCAGACTTGCCACAATCATGTAAAAAAATCTTCCAAGCACTTACAGAGAAACAAATTGAAACAACTGAAAT